CGTGATCGAGAATCGCTCCTCGTTCTCCACAAGAGTCGGCGGTTACTCTCTCTCTCCCTCTATTTCTCTCTCTTTTTCTCCCTTCCTCCTCTCTCTCCTTCTTTCTCGTTCTTTCTTTCTTTCTTTTCTCTTCTCTCTCTCTCTCTCTCTCTCTCTCTCTCTTTGTGTCTCTGTCTCATATCGATCAGCACGGCGCGTCGGAATGCCGATTGTCCTGTCAGCCTCTGAATTTGCTCTCCTTTTCTTTTCCTCATTCACCAATCCGTGCGTTTCACACACTTGAGGGAACACACCCGCTAAACATCCCGCGCGCATTTTATTCGGCCCCATATCATCTATTTGTCCTCGGCGCATCTATATGCGGCGTCGCGGCAGACTATTCTCGGAGTGAAAGCCGCTCCTCTCACACCGTTCACTGCCGCCGCGTGTTTCGAGAAACGCACCGACATCCAACGACGATACACTCTCGACAGTGATACGCAGCTTCACGGAGATCATTAGCGTACATGTAATGTAATGGTATCTAGCCACGATCGACGAAACGGCAGTCAGCGTGGAAAACACCTGGTCGATGGTAACAGCTAATTAATTTGCACGCGGAGATTCGCGGCAAATTGGAAAACGATTTGTTTAAATCGGTACCTTGTATAAATTTCTGTTAATTTTAATTAAGAGGAGACACATGAGAGAGAGAGAGAGAGAGAGAGAAGGGGAATTTGTGGTATCCTTAGCAATATTTAAATCAAGGAGATCCGAATTTTTTCGCAAATCCTGACCAACGAAATTGATCAGCTCGCATAGCGCGTGCATTGTAAAAGATAGAGAAAACATGGAATTTATATAAAATGTATATATATATATATATATATATATATATATATGTATGTATATATGCATGTACGTATATACGTATATATTTTATATTTCGAAAGTTGAACTATTCATATTTAAAAGCCAAATCAATAAAAACGTCCAGGATTAAGTGCGAGTCCGGATATTGGTACAAGATACTCTTACCTTGTATCGCTTCGGTAAACTTACCGTGGACATCAGTACTGATTATGGTGCGTTTGTATCTCGAGAGGCGCGAACACGCGATATCCTCCGAGTATTAATACCGAACGAAAATCCCCCGGCAGTTTGCGCGTCTCCGAGGCGCGTTATCCGCGTCGTCGCGCTTAGGGTCAAGCGAGACCGCCATCGCGGTAGCGCAAGGGGGTCGACGAAAGCGCGAGACAAATTGAGCGCCCGGGCTTTGTAAGACGCGACCTAGCCGCGGAACGTAAGCCCACGATGTCGCGACGTGGAAATGAGATAGATAGATAGATAGATAGAGAGAGAGAGAGAGAGAGAGGAAGAACGAGGGAGAGAACGAGAGGAGCGTCCCGAGGAGAGCGCGTCGAGAGAGCGGAAAAGAGATTCCTGAGCGAGCGCAGGAATTTCGCGGCGATCTCGCCGCCGCGACGCGCCGCCATCCGCGGAGATTCTTCCCGAGGGGATTACACAATGAAATATATTTCCCCGCTCTTTCGCGCTCACGCTCTCGCCCGCGCTCTCGGGCGCGCTTGTCGGCGCACCCTCGCTAAATATAAGCGCGCCGCTTCGCACCGACGAAGCCCCCACAAATCACAAATGCCGAAAAAACAAGGCAAGCAAAGAATTCTCTCTCTCTCTCTCTCTCTCTCTCTCTATATATATATATATATATATATATATATATATATATATATAT